ACAATTTTTTTATTGAAATAAACATACATATAGAAAAGTAAAATTCCTAAGTGTACAGCACAAAGATTTTCCATAAACTGAACCTATGCTACCAGTACCCATTAAGAAATGGGATATTTCCAGAACCCCAGAAATACCCTTGGCCCACTTTCTGTCTCTACTCCCATACAAAGGGTAACCATAACCATAACCATAACCAAACGTTCACTTTCTGCCTCCTTCTCTTATGCGTGTATTCAAAATGCCAAAGGTGGGGACAGGGGGACTCATACTCTAAAACAGGGTCAGGAGGAATAAATTGGTGCAGAACTATCCATCATCATCTGGTCTATTTGAATATATTTTCATATCTGACCTTTAGTTTCAGAGAGTGAGAGTGAGCATGTTTGTCTCTGTAAGTGTCAGGCTGCCATCTCTCTGTCTATTCCTTTCAATGCTCCCTTCAAAAGGCTTTAGCCGTTTGGCCTGCTCACCTCTCTTTTTTACAGCTTTTTGTACTTCCCCTGCCTTCAGGCTGGCTGTAGAGGATAAGATGTGTCTACTTTCAGTACCTAACATGGGACCTTGCATAAAGTAGGCCCTCATTATTGATTTATTGACTATAATTGATTCAAGCCTTCATCTCATTGCTATGTAATAGATGCATAGCATCCATTCTTAGGATGCTGTCTTATTTTTTAAAGAATTTTTGATATCAACAAGGAAATATGCCAAAAGGTAACCAAAATATCACACTTTGTAAATGAGGTTTAGGAAATATCTAATAGTTCTCTATGAAATTTTCCCTCATTTATCCTAAATATAAATAGAACTAGGTCTGACCACTTAAATGTCATCTCACTAATGATCTCCCCTTCCCACTTCCATTTATTATTATAGGTAGAGACTTTTACGATCCTCAACCTTGTATTTGTTCTATAATGGGCTAGAACTCTGCTAAAGAGTTTTCATGAGTTACTTTTTATTATGGTAAAATATATATAACGTAAAATTTACCATTTAACTCTTTTTAACTGTACATTTCAGTGGCATTAATACAGTCAAACATTGTTGTGCTACCATCACCACCATTTATTTCCAGAACTTCTTCATAATCCCAGACTGAAACTCCCTACCCATTAAACTTTAACTTCCCTTTCCCCTCTCCCCCTAGTGTCTAGCAACCACCATTCTACTTTCTGTCTCTATGAATTTGACTATTCTGAGTACCTCATACAGGTGGAATGTACATTATTTGTCCTTTTGTGTCTGACTTATTACATTTAGCATAATTTCCTCAGGTTCATCTGTGTTGTAGTACGTGTCAGAATTTCCTTCCTTTTTTAAGGCTGAATAATATTTCGTTATATGTTATAAATCTTCACAGTTACTACCCCTGGCAGACCTGAATTTGAAAGCTGGCTCTGTCACTTATATAGCAACTGACCTTGGCCATGTTGAATTTTCTCTTTGCATATAAATTTTCTCATTTGTAAAATGGAAATGAAATTACCCAGCTCACTGGACTGGAGTAAGGATTTAATAAGATAACAAAATACCTCGTGTAGTGCCTTACAGATAGTCAGTGTTCAGTAAATGGCAGCTGGTAGCATAATGATTCATGTTGATAGTAAGCAATTCAAAAAGTCTGTTACATACATTTCAGGAGAAGTCCAGACTAGTGTGTGCAATGTAGTCCCTGCTTTATGGAAAAGTCATCTTAGGTTGTATACATATGGCATATCCAAAAGGTATTTTTGGTTTCTAAAGTACTCAGACCAATGAAAGAAGACAAAAGTCATTTGTGAAACATGTACTTTTTATTCCACCCACAATCTATTTGCCAGCCTTAGAGAGGTTAAAATGTCAGTTCAAAGAGCTCAGTCTTAAGGACTACCAATGACTCGTTTCTTCAGGGAAAAAAATGTTTCATTTTGTTTATCAGACAAATAAGTAAAATCATATCTTTAAGGAATATGGACTTGATAACTTATTAGAAATAAAAGTATCTTCAGAGTCAACTAAGTCATTCTCAGAGTGAGCATATGGGAAAATAAATAGCCAAAATTTTCAGGAGAATTTTTAATAAACGTTCATAACAATCTCAATTTAGAGTTCCTCTAATACCAAATATTAATATTAACCAAAAAGAAATTTTAAATATGCTTTATAATTTTAATAACTAAAGTTTTTTCATAAACATTTTTCTTTTTTTGAGATTTATTTTTATTTATTTATTATTTTATTTATTTTTTGGCTGTGTCGGGTCTTAGTTGTGGCACGCAGGATCTTCACTGAGGATTGCAGAATCTTTCATTGTGGTGCACAGGCTTCTCTAGTTGTGGCGCGCAGGCTCCAGGGTGTGTGGGCTCTGTAGTTTGTGGCACACAGGCTCTTTAGTTGAGGCACACGAGCTCAGTAGTTGTGGCACATGAGCTTAGTTGCCCTGCGCCATGTGGGATCTTAGTTCCCTGACCAGGGATCAAACCCACGTCCCCTGCATTGTAAGGCAGATTCTTTACCGCTGGACCACCATGGAAGTCCCATAAACATTTTTCTTATTATAGAAAATTTGAACATATAAAAAAGATAGACAAAATATTTACTTCTGGTCTTTTTTCCTAAGCATAGTTTTTTATGGGGGCAAGGAGAAATAAACATAGTGAATGATTCTCTGTATTCAATTTTATATCCTTTTTCACTTAACCTTATAATGCAATACATTGCATAGGATTTTTCCAAAGTGATGAGAACTCCTTATGAACACATTTTAATAACTAATTAATCATTCTTTCTTAATCCTTTTCTAGGCAAACTATTTCTGGAGAGGAACTATAGCAAAGCAATTAAGAATGTGAACTTAAGCCAAATTTCTGGGTTCAAATCCCAATCCCACAAGTTGCTAACATCAACCTGAGTAAGTTACTTAAAAAAAAAAAAAAAGGAACTATTAATAGTGTCCCTACCTGTTAGGTTTGGTATAAGGATTAAATGTGTTAATCTTTAACACACTGAATATATAGAAAATTATTAGGTATATATAAAATGCCATAATAGTGCCTCACATTTGCTAAGGATTCTATAAATGTTACCTATTATTAGCTATTAAAAATCCTTGGTATGTTACACTAAAAACTATAATTGTAAAACAAGATAGATGTAACTGACTAAATTTAAAATACGTAACATTATTTGTAGATAACTTATAATGCTTTCTCAGTTTAAATTTTAACATCATCTATAAAGTATTTCAGATCAAGTATTATTAGACTTCTAATCTTCAATTTTTAATTTATGGACTAACTTTGTGATGTTTTTCATTTGTCAAAGGCATATACATCTTCACTGACAAATATAATTTGTCAGAACTTCTAATGAAAAGCACTTAAAATACGAGTGAAAATCAATAAAATTTAAATTTTTATTTCCCAGTTGCACTAGCCACTTGGTCATACCAACCAGCTCAATAGCTGTATGTATAGTGGCTACTATATTGGAAAAAACTGATACAGAACATTTACATCATTGCAGAAAGCTCTTATTATGTCTTTTGACAAAAGTAGCATGTTTGCATTATGTATCAATTTATGAGTAACGTGTTTTTGCCCAAATTTTATTCAATTAATTATACAAATTTTAGTAATTAAATTTTTTTTCTAATATTATAAAAGCTTAATATCATTTGAGAACTGCACAGTCATCTATGGTAAGGATCAAATGCAAGAAAAGCAATAAGTGAGTGTGATATACATGTTTTATTTCACTTTTTTCTTTTCTGCATTAATTGAAAGGCTACACTCACCTTACTTAACAAATATTATCCTTTAAAATACTTAACTTACTAGATTAAACACAGCTTAAAATTTTTTTTTTATAATGAAAAATGACAATTTCTTCAGAAGTAGAGAGACTAATATAACAAACCTCCCCAGATCCATCACCCAGTTTCAACAATTATCAATTGATGCCCTATCTTTTTTCATCTATAACCTACCTGCTGTTACCCTCCATCCTCCACTGGATCATTTTGGAGCAAATCTCAGACATTATTTCATTTTTTCTGTAAACATTTTAATAGGTATCTTTAAAAGATAAGAACTCTTTTTGTTTACTTTTAATATTTTGTTTTGTCTTTATTTTTTCAGTTTTATTGAGATATAATTGACCTCCAGCACTGTATGAGTTTAAGGGGTACAGCTTAATGACTTGACTTACATATATTGTGAAATGATTACCACGATAAGTAAGAACTCTTTTTAAAATGTAATCATAGTAACCATTATCACAGCTAAAAACAAAGAGACCTAAAGTAATTTTTAATATATGCAAATATAGTCATTAAACAGACAAAAAAAGGCCAGTCACTTTTTCTGACTTTTTTTTTGTTTTTTTTTTTTTGTTTTGCGGTACGCGGGCCTCTCACTGTTGTGGCCTCTCCCGTTGCGGAGCACAGGCTCCGGACGCGCAGGCTCAGCGGCCATGGCTCACGGGCCCAGCCGCTCCGCGGCATGTGGGATCTTCCCGGACCAGGGCACGAACCTGTGTCCCCTGCATCGGCAGGCGGACTCTCAACCACTGCGCCACCAGGGAAGCCCTTTTTCTGACTTTAAAAGCAAATTTTGAGGTTAGGAAGTACATGTGATATTGTCATCAGTTCAAGGTCACTGATCATTTGGTGTCAAAAACACTATGGATCAATATTCAGGAAATGAGAGCAGTATGTTTTATCTGTTATTTGCTAACAACAACAAAAAAGCTTCATACACGAAGTCAAAAATAGCCAGTAGAAACAAAAGTAGGCTATCCAATTATTCTAAATAGGCCAAATCATCCTAATAATAAAAAGAAGTTACTACCTCACGCCAATTAGCATAGCTACCATCAAAAATCAGAAAATAATTGTTGGTGAGGACATGAAGAAATTGACCCTTCTCCACTGTTGGTGAAAATGTAAAATGGTACAGCCGTTGTGGAAAGCAGCATGACATTTCTTAAAAAAATTAAAAATAGAGCTACCCTACGATCTAGCAATTCCACCTCTGGGTATATACTCAGAAGAATGGAAAGCAGAGCCTCAAAAAGATATTTGCACATCCACGTTCATCGCAGCATTATTCAAAATAGCTAAAACATGGAAGCAACCCAAGTGTCCATGAATGAATGAAATGGATAAGCAAAATGTGGTATATAGGTACAATGAAATCTTATTCAGCCTTAAAAAGAAAGGAAATTCTGACGTATGCTACAACATGAGTAAACACCACAGACACTGTGCTAAGTGAAATAAGCCAGTCACAAAAAAGGCAAATACTGTATGATTTCACTTATATAGGGTACTTAAAGTAGTCAAAATCATAGTGACAGAAAGTAGAATGGTGGTTGCCAGGGCCTGGGGGAAGTTACAGGGTTAAGTTTTGCAAGATGAAAAGAATTCTGGAGGTGAGTGGTAGTGATGATTACACAATAATCTGAATGGACTCAATATCACTGAACTTACACTTTAAAATGATTAAGCTGGTAAATTTTATGTTACGTGTAGTCTACCACAATAAAAAAGATTGGAAAAACACAACGCATTGTACTATGCTCTTTGCAACAGAAGACAAACTGTGCATAAAGGGTGAAACAAAATAGATTAATAAATATTTTGCACATGTGTTTGCAAATATACCATACACAAATACAGGAGTGATTCCTGTATATCTTGAAGAGAACGGTATTATTCACATAGGAACTCATTTTTGCTCAGAGTTTTTATGATTTCTACATAATGTGGAGAAAATAATAGTAAAAATGTGCAGAAAACATAAAAAGTTGATGATAAATGCTTGCACAGGTGGAAGGAAATAAGTTGTTTGACTCAGCTAAAACATCCTACTTATAGGCCAGAAATAAGAGACAGAAAATGGATTGTGAAACATTCAACCTGTTTGGCACAGAGATTCAGATACAGGGATGAATAGACAAGACATACTATCATTCAAATTGAGGTTACTAGTTGGATTTACTGGATGCATTGAGAAATTTGGTAGCCACTGTAGGATTTTATAATAAAGAGAAAGATAAACAAAGGAAAGGTCAAAGAATTAAGAGTACAGGAAAAAAAAACCAAAATAAAACAGGGAACATAGCTGAATACCGACTTAGTTGGTTCTGATAAGATGTGTGTGTAAATTGGAATTACATTTATTTTTTATTTACTTATTTTTTACAGTATTTCTGTTAATTAATTTTTTAACATCTTTATTGGAGTATAATTGCTTTACAATGTTGTGTTAGTTTCTGCTGTATAACAAGGTGAATCAGCTATATGCATACGTACATCCCCTCCCTCTTGCATCTCCCTCCCAATGTCCTTATCCCACCCCTCTAGGTGGTCGCAAAGCACTGAGCTGATCTCTCTGTGCTATGCAGCTGCTTCCCACTAGCTATCTATTTGGTAATGTGTATATGTCAATGCTACTCTCTCACTTCGCCCCAGCTTACCCTTCCCCCTCGCCGTGTCCTCAAGCCCATTCTCTACTTCTGCGTCTTTTTTTTCCTTTTTTGAATTTTATTTAATTTATTTTTTTATACAGCAGGTTCTTATTAGTTATCCATTTTATACATATTAGTGTATATATGTCAATCCCAATATCCCAACTTATCACACCCCCCCCCCCCCCGTCGCTTCCCCCCATTGGTGTCCATACGTTTGCTCTTTACATCTGTGTCTCAATTTCTGCCCTGCAAACCGGTTTATCTGTACCATTTTTCTAGGTTACACATATATGCATTAATATACGATATTTGTTTTTCCCTTTCTGACTTACTTCACTCTGTATGACAGTCTCTAGCTCCAGCCACATCTCTACAAATGGCCCAATTTTGTTCCTTTTATGGCTGAGTAATATTCCATTGCATAAATGTACCACATCTTCTTTATTTCTCTGTCGATGGGCATTTAGGTTGTTTCCATGACCTGGCTATTGTAAATAGTGCTGCAATGAACATTGGGGTACATGTGTCTTTTTGAATTATGGTTTTCTCAGGGTATATACCCAGTAGTGGGATGGCTGGGTCACATGGTAGTTCTATTTTCAGTTTCTTAAGGAACCTCCATATTGTTCTCCATAGAGGCTGTATCAATTTATATTCCCACCAACAGTGCAAGAGGGTTCCCTTTTCTCTACACCCTCTCTCCAGCATTTGTTGTTTGTAGATTTTCTGATGATGCTCATTCTAACTGGTGTGAGGTGATACCTCATTGTAGTTTTGACTTGCATTTCTCTAATAATTAGTGATGTTGAGCAGCTTTTCATGTGCTTCTTGGCCATCTGTATGTCTTCTTTGGAGAAATGTATATTTAGGTCTTCTGCCCATTTTTTGGATTGTTGTTTGTTTTTTTGAAATTGAGCTGCATGAGCTGCTTGTAAATTTTGGAGGTTAATCCTTTGTCAGTTGCTTCATTTGCAAATATTTTCTCCCATTCTGAGGGTTGCCTTTTAGTCTTGTTTATGGTTTCCTTTGCTGTGCAAAAGCTTTTAAGTTTCATTAGATCCCATTTGTTTGTTTCTATTTCCATTTCTCTAGGAGGTGGGTCAAAAAGGATCTTGCTGTGATTTACGTCATGGAGTGTTCTGCCTATGTTTTCCTCTAAGAGTTTTATAGTGTCTGGCCTTACATTTAGGCCTTTAATCCATTTTGAGTTTATTTTTGTGTATGGTGTTAGGGAGTGTTCTAATTTCATCTTTTTACATGTAGCTGTCCAGTTTTCCCAGCACCACTTATTGAAGAGGTTGTCTTTGCACTATTGTATATTCTTGCCTCCTTTATCAAAGATAAGGTGACCGTATGGGTGTGGGTTTATCTCTGGACTTTCTATCCTATTCCATTGATCTATATTTCTGTTTTTGTGCCAGTACCATACTGCCTTGATTACTGTAGCTTTGTAGTATCATCTGAAATCAGGGAGCCTGATTCCTCCAGCTCTGTTTTTCTTTCTCAAGACTGCTTTGGCTATTCAGGGTCTTTCGTGTCTCCATACACATTTTAAGATTTTTTCTTCTAGTTCTGTAAAAAATGCCATTGGTAATTTGATACGGATTGCATTGAATCGGTAGATTGCTTGGGGTAGTATGGTCATTTTCACAATATTGATTCTTCCAATCTAAGAACATGGTATATCTCTCCATCTGTTGGTATCATCTTTAATTTCTTTCATCAGTGTCTTATAGTTTTCTGCATACAGGTCTTTTGTCCCCCTAGGTAGGTTTATTCCTAGGTATTTTATTCTTTTTGTTGCAATGGTAAATGGGAGTGTTTCCTTAATTTCCCTTTCAGATTTTTCATCATTAGTGTATAAGAATGCAAGAGATTTCTGTGCATTAATTTTGTATCCTGCAACTTTACCAAATTCATTGATTAGCTCTAGTAGTTTTCTGGTGGCATTTTTAAGATTCTCTATGTATAGTATCGTGTCATCTGCAAACAGTGACAGTTTTACTTCTTCTTTTCCAATTTGTATTTCTTTTATTTCTTTTTCTTCTCTGATTGCCGTGGCTAGGACTTCCAAAACTATGTTGAATAATAGTGGTGAGAGTGGACATCCTTGTCTTGTTCCTGATCTTAGAGGAAATGCTTTCAGTTTTTCACCATTGAGAATAATGTTTGCTGTGGGTTTGTTGTATATGGCCTTTATTATGCTGAGGTACGTTCCCTCTATGCCCTCTTTCTGTAGAGTTTTTATCATAAATGGGTGTTGAATATTGTCAAAACCTTTTTCTGCATCTATTGAGATGATCATATGGTTTTTATTCTTCAATTTGTTACTATGGTGTATCACATTGATTGATTTATGTATCTTGAAGAATCCTTGCATCCCTGGTATAAATCCCACTTGATCATGGTGTATAATCCTTTTAATGTGTTGTAGGATTCTGTTTGCTAGTATTTTGTTGAGGATTTTTGCATCTATATTCATCAGTGATACTGGTCTGTAACTTTCTTTTTTTGTAGTATCTTTGTCAGGTTTTGGTATTAGGGTGATGGTGGCCTCATAGAATGAGTTTGGGAGTGTTCCTTCCTCTGCAATTTTTTGGAAGAGTTTGAGTAGGATGGGTGTTAGCTCTTCTCCAAATGTTTGACAGAATTCACCTGTGAAGCCATCTGGTCCTGGACTTCTGTTTGTTGGAAGATTTTTAATCACAGTTTCAATTTCATTACTTGTGATTGGTCTGTTCATATTTTCTATTTCTTCCTGGTTCCTTCCTTTTCTAAGAATTTGTCCATTTCTTCCAGGTTGTCCATTTTATTGGCATAGAGTTGCTTGTAGTAGTCTCTAGGATGCTTTGTGTTTCTCCTGTGTCTGTTGAACCTTCTCCTCTTTCATTTCTAATTTTATTGATTTGAGTCCTCTCCCTCTTTTTCTTGATGAGTCTGGCTAATGGTTTATCAATTTTGTTTATTTTCTTAAAGAACCAGCTTTTAGTTTTATTGATCTTTGCTATTGTTTTCTTTATTTCTATTTCATTTATTTCTGCTCTGATCTTTATGGTTTCTTTCCTTCTACTAACTTTGGGTTTTGTTTGTTCTTCTTCCTCTAGTTCCTTTAGGTGTAAGGTTAGATTGTTTATTTGAGATGTTTCTTGTTTCTTGAGGTAGGCTTGTATTCCTGTAAACTTCCCTCTTAGAACTGCTTTTGCTGCATCCTTCTGCTGTTTGCCCTCTGGTGGATGAGACTGTCTAAGAGGCTGTGCAAGTTTCCTGATGGGAGGGACTGGTGGTGGGTAGAGCTGACTGTTGCTCTGGTGGGCAGAGCTCAGTAAAACTTTAATCCACTTGACTATTGATGGGTGGGGCTGGGTTCCCTCCCTGTTGGTTGTTTGGCCTGAGGAAACCCAGCACTGGAGCCTACCTGGCTCTTTGGTGGGGCTAATGGTGGACTCTGGGAGGGCTCACACCAAGGAGTACTTCCCAGCACTTCTGCTGCCAGTGTCCTTGTCCTCACAGTGAGCCACAGCTATCCCCCGCCTCTGCAGGAGACCCTCCAACACTAGCAGGTAGGTCTGGTTCAGTCTCCTATGAGGTCACTGCTCCTCCCCTGGGTCTCGATGTGCACACTACTTTGTGTGTGCCCTCCAAGAGTGGAGTCTCTGTTTTCCCCAGTCCTGTTGAAGTCCTGCAATCAAATCCCTCTAGCCTTCAAAGTCTGACTCTCTAGGAATTCCGCCTCCTGTTGCCGGACCCCCAGGTTGGGAAGCCTGACGTGGGACTCAGAACCTTCACTCCAGTGGGTGGACTTCTGTGGTATAAGTGTTCTCCAGTTTGTGAGTCACCCACCCAGCAGTTATGGGATTTGATTTTATTGTGATTGCGCCCCTCCTCCTCCTACCATCTCATTGTGGCTTCTCCTTTGTCTTTGGGGTATCTTTTTTGGTGAGTTCCAGTGTCTTCCTGTCGATGACTGATTGTTCATAAGTTAGTTGTGATTCCAGTGCTCTTGCAAGAGAGGGTGAGAGCACGTCCTTCTACTCCGCCATCTTGAACCAATCTGAGTTACATTTAATATTTTAACTTTTTAAAATCTGCAGGCATTTATAAAATAGACTATATGAACTCTGAGATCCTGTCCACGTCTAAGTTTAATATTCTGAGTTTCAGTTGCCTTTTGAAAGTTTAATTTGCATTCTTACTCTTCTTATCTGGGAAATAACTTGTAGCTTTTTAATATTTTGTAATTCAATCCTTCAGGAGTTCATCCAGGCATTCTTTCTTTTATTGTATACCTACGACAATATTTTATGACACTGTGGTGTATAGTGAGTACACAAAAGTGACTCAGATACCTTGACTGCCCTCAAGAAGGTCACTATCCGTATAGCAAGGATAGAGAGGTGTACAGGTAATTCGTTTATCTTTAAGATAAGAATAAGGAGTGAGGTTAAGAAGTGGGTTAAAGGTGTTTCAAGTAGGAGGAAATTTTGAAAGTGCACAAGTACAACCTGGGAAACGAGAATGCACAGTGCCTGAAGAAACTGCAGGTAGTTAAGTATTCTTGGGGAAAAGGGTGGTGAGTGATTGGGTGGCACAGTTAGGAGAGGCCACATAATTAAGGACTCTATTTGGCATGCTAAGGAACGTGGATTTTATCCTGAAGGCAAGGGGAAGTCAGATGAGGACTCCAATTAGGAATGTGACAAGATAAAATAGGAATTTACAATTTATCTGAGGATCAGGTGGAAGTGTGTTCAGACAATTAGAGGCATGTAGGGCAACTGGAAGACACAGTAATCCTGGCAGGAGTTATGCTCCCCTGGACCAAATAGGGGACAGTGGGCTCTCAGAGGCCACTGGGATAAAGCCCAGAGATATTGAGGAGGTGGAATTGTCTAAATGTGGTGAGGGTCCCACCCCAGGAAATTGGGTGGTCTGGAGAAGGAGCTCGAGGCAGATAGTTTAATCAAATTTCCCAGGTAATGCTCTTGCTTTGTCAGGTGTGAAACCCACCAGTGTAGATTGCTTCTCAAAGAGCTTGAGTGTCAAAGAAAAGAGGAGACAGAGGATGCCAGTAGAGGGCCAAGGGGCACCTTTGGTTAAAGGTCAGAGCTATGACTGTTCACATCCCAAAGAAAATGAACCAGCAGGGAGGGAGAAGCTGAAGGAGCCAAGATCATAGAATTTTTCTTGCAGGGAAATGACTCTCAGTGGGAGCAGGATCTCAGTTCTGAGGTAGGAACTAAAAAAGTATAGAAATGTAGACACAGACAGTTGGAAAGGGAGGGAAAGGGACAAGGTTGAGGGAATTCTACCTTCTATCCTTCCACCACCACTGCCCCCCGCCCCCGCAAACCCATCCATCCCAAGCAGGTGATGAGAGAGGGCTGGTGAGAGAAAGATAAAAAAAGATCAAGAGCCCTGTTCAGGGAAGAAATTGTGTGTTTGTACTGGTACCAATGGGCACACTTTGTTATTTTCTTCCTACACAGTTGCTAGATTTAGCAAACAAAAATATGACACCCAGCTAAATTTGAATTTCAGACAAACGATGGATAACTTTTTAGTATGTCTCATGCAGTATTTGTGACACACTTAAACTTTTTAAAGTTTATTCTCAATACTAAGCTTATACATACTTTTAAAAATTATTCATTAGTTTTATAAAATTCAAATTTAACTGAGCATTCTGTGTATTACCTGGCAACCCTATACTAGAACTTGAAAAATCGGCCGTGAGGCTTATGACCTAATACTTAAAGTTAAGGTTGAAGTTTACTATGAAAGTCCTCTTCATTTATTAATACTTATTTTGTTTGTAAGCATGACACATTGTCAGCAGCAGACAGGGCCACAAACACATGCTTATAACATGGCAACAACTACAAGCAAGACTGATAAGCATGTGACTGCTGAGCTGTTTCTTTCCTACCTGCTCCTGTCCCATTTCCAGAAGCACCCTCCTTCACCTCTGGCTCTGGGAATCAGTGTTTCCTAACAGTGAATCATCTGTTAGGTTTCTGTTATCCAAGTCTGGAAAAATTTAATCATTTCTCTTATACTACCTTAAACCAGTTGCCCTGATATTAACTAAAAGTAGGGTAACAAACTGTCCTGGTTTGCCCATAAGTGAAGGTTCCCAGGACTTAGGATTTTCAGTTTTTTTGGTTTTTTAAAAAATTATTTTATTTATTTATTTATTTATTTATTTTATTTTTGGTCGCGTTGAGTCTTCATTGCTATGCGTGGGCTTTCTCTAGTTGGCAGCGAGCTGGGGCTACTCTTCATTGCGGTGCATGGGCTTCTTGTTGAGGTGGCTTCTCCTGTTGCAGAGCACGGGCTCTAGGCGCACAGGCTTCAGTAGTTGTGGCGCACGGGCTTAGTCGCTCTGCAGCATGTAGGATCTTTGCGGACCAGGGCTCAAACCCGTGTTCCCTGCATTGGCAAGCAGATTCTCAACCACTGTGCCACCAGGGAAGCCCAGATTTTCAGTTTTAACACTGGGAATATCCCAGGAGAAGCAGGATCTGCCTTGACCATGGTAGATTCCTTTAAGCCAGCGATGTCTCTGTGCTGATTATGAAGCTTTAATTCTGACAGAAGGATTATAATTTTTCTCCTCAAAAAAACTTTATCTTCATTACTTAAATTGTCTCTCTTTTATATGAAAGGTAAGAATTTATAAAGGAAAAGGTATATTTTTTATACATTAGGCCATATTACATTTTAGTTCTTAGGACATTCTTACTGGAAAAGTTTGTATTTTTTTTCTAGGCTAATTTGTTGTGCCATTTTTAAATGATTGGGTCAAGAAAAGAGGTGATCCTTATATATAGGTTGACTTCATCCCTTATATACCAATTTGGAGATATCCTAAGGTTCATGAATAATACAGGATGACAAAATACATACACATGTATATATTTATATACTAAATGCAAAATACAAATGACTGGCAACCTGTCTTACTTTCAGAACTCAAAAATCTTAGTTTTGTACCTTGAAGTAAATTATCCTCATAAAAATTTCAAGGAAACTTGCATTCCACTGGCTCAAGCATATCTTTACCACAGGGCAAACAAAAACAACATAATTCTGGATCAGTGAAAACCTTCATTATGATTGCAGTTCTAGGGTCCTGATTTACAGTTGTGGAAGAAGCTAGCTACCAAACCAATACCAATTCTCTTCTTCTTACTTAATAAAAAAAACTTTGAGGGACTTCCCTGGTGGTCCAGTGGGTACGACTCCACGCTCCCAGTGCAGGGGGGCCGGGTTCGATCCCTAGTTAAGGAACTAGATACTGAAGGCAGCAACTAAGAGTCTGCATGTAGAAACTAATAGAAGTCCGCATGCCACAACTAAAAGATCCCGCATGTTGCAAGGAAGATCCCGCATACCACAACTAAGACCTGGCACAGCCAAAATAAATAAAACAAATATTAAAAAAAATAAAATAAAATAAAAATTTAAAAAGTTTGATTTTATTCCAAGTAACAATATGACCAACTAAAGAAGTCCTCACAGCCCACATTGCAGCTAGACATGGAATTCAGAAAGGATCCTTAATAGAGGGACAGCCAGCTTACAGGAACCCTTCTTACTTTTTATTTATTTATTTATTTTTGGCTGCGTTGGGTCTCCACTGCTGTGCACAGGCTTTCTCTAGTTTCAGGGAGCAGGGGCTACTCTTCGTTGCAGTGTGCAGGCTTCTCATTGCAGTGGCTTCTCTTGCTGTGGAGCACGGGCTCTAGGCACGTGGGCTTCAGTAGTTGTGGCACACGGGCTCAGTAGTTGTGGCTCGCAAGCTCTAGAGCACAGGCTCAGTACTTGCGGTGCAGGGGCTTCATTGCTCTGCGGCATGTGGGACCTTCCCAGACCGGGGCTCAAACCTGCATCCCCTGCATTGGCAGGTGGATTCTTAACCACTGCACCACCAGGGAAGTCCCTGCCACTTTTCATTTCATCCTGTTTTCTGTTTTGTTTTTTAGGGATGCTATGTTTGGGGGGAGGTTAGGAATGCACGGGGATGTTTATATTTGGGCATCAGGTTAGGAAGAGATGGTTGGCAGCCTTCTTTGGAGAAATATGAGGAACTAATACATTAACACACTTTCTAGGATCACTAGGAATGATGTAGGCTCAGAATTCTTACTTCTCAAAATGGCTTCAGGACTGCCCTTGTTTAGACTACGGAACAACATTTTTTTTAATTCAGATACAACTCAAATATGTGGATTAGGTTACAGTAGGTATTAGATAATCTAAGGGACCAAGAATGCTTTCTAACAAGACTATTTTCTTATTTTGTTCTTATTATATTAAGCTCTCACCAATATCAAAAGATCAGTTTAAACTTAATTTTGTCTTCTAATTTTCTGGATACAGGATTATTTAAGTTCAGAAGTAACTCAGACTGCTTCAGAGATGTTAGGTATTTGCCCAACTTTCTATTTTGATACTATGCACAGTAATAATTGAGGTCCACAAACTTTATCACACAGAATTATTTCCCTCAGCTTCCTTGTTATTTATGACTCTTTCTCTTAACTAGGCTAAACTTACACTTTGTAGTTCTCTCCATTTTTTGTTTGTTTGTTTGTTTTTGTCTTTACTAAAAGACCAATCAAGTAGCCAAAATCTATGTACCTTATCTAGCTGTCAAATTAGCTTCCGATTTGTCTCTTTCTCTCTCTTTTGTTTCCCCCCAAAAGGATCCAACTGTATTAACTTCCCATTATGAAGTTCTACAACAGTTTGGGCGGGGACAAATATCACAGCCTCACCCTTCCCTCCAGCTGGTTAGCCAACATTTCTATACAGGCGGAATTGCATTTAATATGAAAACAGGAGCAACTGGAATGTTGTTTAAGAAGAATAAGGTAGAAGCAATCCAGCTCTTTCTTTTGAAGGCAACGGAAGCTGGTATGTACCGATTATACAGACACAGACTTTAGGCCTGTCTCTAGTAGTGGCTGAGCCATTTCCTCTCTCTCAGAAGGAGACGCTGCCCTGAGTCACTGCCTAGCTGTTGCTAGGTGCTTGTTTTCTAAGTAGTCACACACTCCACCCTCACTTCCCCACACACAGAGTTCTGGGGAATTGCCCCAATTTTCAGCTCTGCTGAGGTGGTTTGTGACTCATCCTCTTTTCTCTTTAATGACCTTTGAAAGCAACAGGAATAACCTTATTTTTATTTTATTTTATTTTATTTTTTAGTCATTTCTCTTGTAGGCCTCTTACTTATTTGAAAACAGGTATAATGAAGTCTAAAATCAATAACTCTGTTTTGTATACTATTTATATAAAATTGGCTTTCTATTCTGCTTCCTAGATAAAATATTTTCTTTCCATTGGGGGAAAAAGGGCAGGAGGATCTTATTTCCTATGGGACAGTGGATGATATTTCCCATTAAATGCTCTCAGTAATTGTCCTAAATAAGGTATAGAACTGCAATCCTAGGCATTCTATTTAGGTTCTGTTTATTCATAACTTTACATACAAGATCTCTCCTCAAATGACAAGGATTGCCAGCGCAAGCAAAATTGCAGCATTTGATTTTTGTATTATGCTGCAATGTCAGGTAATTAAAAAAAAAATCTTAACTCCAGTATCTTTGTTTTATTTTATTGTTATAATTTAAAACTGTTATCATAACTAAATATCCTCACCTTTAATAAAACCTCCTTACCAATATTTTATGTTAGAGTTCTTGGCATGCTTATTAGCATTTTAACCTCCCATAAAGTGGAGAAACCCATGTGGATGGGCTATGGAAGATGTCTTTGTGTATGTACTTAACTCCCATCACTAGCCCTGGAGCCGACTGGATTAGAGAATTTTAAGCAGCCCAATTTTGTTGGAACATAAGGTGTGAAGGTGGGAATAGCAGGAGATGATGTAGGAGAGATAGTGTTAAAGAGCTTGAATTTTGTTATTTTAGAGTCTGTCGTAGGTCTGGAGAGAAAGGCTGGGCATAATCTAATTTTAGGAACTCTAAAATCTAATTTAGATCAATTCTCCTAAATTTAAGAAATTATATATTTCAAAAAATTTAGAGAAAAAAAGTATAAGTCTCCTATATAGTTCAAGAAGGTTTAAAACTCCAGAAATACATTTCTCACTATATAACTCAAATGGCACTAGTAATCACATTGAGAAGTGTTATTGGTTAGTATATTCGCGAGTAGGTGAAGGAGGAGATATCAAAAGAAACAATGAGATTCACACTGAATTTTTTTGTAAACTCCATTTAAATTTATGTATATAGATATTTATTTTTATATATAAAATTTTTGTATATGAATTTGTATACGTGTGATATTACACACACACAGATGCATGTGTGTATGTCTATGTAGTGGAAATAAGAAGCATATAACTATGGACAATGTCAAATGATAGAAATATGCCTAAAGAATAAACAGATTATTTTTAAATACCATACATAGCAAGCTATTTCTTTTTTTTCCTTTCTGCTTGCTTCCCTCCCTCCCACCCTTCACTTCTTCCTTCTTTTTTTGGTTATATAAGAAGAAAGAAAGAGAGAGGGAGAGGAAGGAAGAAAGGACAGAGAGAGAGAGAGAGAGAGAAAGAGAGAGAGAAAAGAAGGAAAGAAGGAAAGGAGGAAGGGAGAAAGAGAAAGAAAGAAGACCAAGTTCTGGCTCCAGGGGCTGGCACCTGCATGTGGTGGGTCCCAGCCAGGCCTGCCAAGCCTCATGCGTGTTTGCAGGTTGGTCATTGCTGCCCAGTGCTGATGAGACATGATTGTAGTGCCATTGTACACAAAGAAGGCCTAGCAATTTTTATATAACCTATGGACCAGGTAGCAAGATGGTGTCTATGACAGAGAAAAAAACTGTACCTAGAACCTGGATGAGACACACGTAATATAGTTTGCTTAAGACAGTTTTAGAAACCATAAAATTTAATTATCCTGGAGTTTCAGGTGAGCATGATTTATGTAAGAAGAGCAGCAGCAAATCTAGGTTTTATGAGGTCTGAAATGTATTCAGTTTGGGAGAAGGGCCCTATTTAAGACAAAATAAAAACTAACAAATTCAAAATTTCTATGGTCTTTCCCAAGGCCTTGGGAAGGACTCATGCAAGCAAGGGACCCTAAAGCTTAAGCTTTAATCTGCCTTTGCTTCAATAAGGG